CTCACTGGTATCAGAATAATAAAAAGTTTAGGCATTCAGAAATTATCCATTGTTGGAGATTCTGCTAATACTATCAAATGGCTGAAAGACAAGGAGGGGGGTCCGTGGAGGTTGAGTCATTATCTGTCAGAGGCAAGAGACTCCTTGGAAAATTTAAATGTTAATCTGATGTCGATACCAAGGGAGATGAATCATATTCCAGATGGATTAGCTAAAATTGGAGCAAACTTAGAAAATTTACAAAACAACAGGCTTCCCCCCTTGTAATTTTGTGTTTCTTCTGTTTAAGTTCTCTTTCCTTTTAGTATATCTGCTCATGTATTCCTTGTTTTATTTAATGAAATCTGATTAACTTTTTCTCCAAAAAAAAAATCTGGACACAATTAAAGTTGGAAGACAGAAGAACAAAGGTTTTTGCTTGGGAAGGGAAATTGGGTTGGCGTGTAACAGGGTTTGTTTTCAGGCTTTTACCAATGAAGAAGGATTGTCAGATGTGAAGAAGAGGATGGATATCGAGAAGAATATGAAAGGATACGAGGATGAGTTAGATTTGACATGGGTTGATTTGGCTGAGGAGGGAGTTCATGAGACAGCAGGTGAGACTTTAAATATTCATGTGACAGGAGCTGAACAGGGRCCTGAGTAAAATCAACCTAGGCTGTGTTCCTCTAGGCACATTGGAGTGAAGTTGAATCTTGAGTCATGTGATGACTTAAATGAACATGTGGTTGTAGAGATGCAAATGGATTGGATATTGATGCAATTCGATTTTGGCAGATTCAAATCAGCATTATCAGATTATTGAATTGAATCGGATCAGAAAATATAATCCATTTACATTTCAGATCGAATTCGAATGACCCCTGATTCAATCCAAAAAATCCGATCCAATTGGATATATTATGTTTTAGAGAATGACATGTATCCCCCCCCCCCAATTTTGTTTAAACAATTTAATAAAACAGTTGTAATTTTAACAAAAGGAAAGACCTAAAATTGGAAAGTTTAATAAGTGTTAAAACAAAAATAACAGAAGGTCCAAAACCCATTGAAGAAAGGTTTTGGTTTTCGTTTGGTTCCAGGGTTCCCTTCTTCTCTTCCATTTMATTGAGACAAGAAACCCTAACCCTAAAGATTAGCTGCCATCAAAATCGCATCGCCACCCACCAGTGACACCTCCAGAGACACCACACCACCACCACTGTTTTGTTCTCCCCTCCCCTACTCCATTGCCATCTTCATCGCCACAAATGCCAAATCTAAGATCTCTATTGGCGTGTGAACATGATGTTCATTATTCACTTCAAATCTAAGGGGTCAAACAATGGTCACTTAGTTCATGTTACCAAGGTCTTCCATTGGCTAAAGGCAGGCCTCTTTGGGGTTGGACCTTTCAGTAGGTATAAGAGGATTTATAAGAGAAAGGAGATAAGAAAACAGGAATAGAATTAAGAGTATTGATAGAAGAAGCAGTAATATGGATTCAGTGGAGAAAGAGGCCAAGGAGAAGAAGATGGAGCCCACCTGCTGTTCAAAAAGAAAATATCTTGACAAAAGAGGAGATGATGCCAGGGATGGAGTGTGAAACGGAAGAACAAAATTCAGAAGGGGAAGAGAAAGATGAGGAGGTGGCTTTGGATCAAGTGAGAAAAGTAGAAAGCAGTGTGGATTTGGAAAAGATAGTGGAAACTGAAGTCCAAGTAAGCAAGTTGTTAGGGGTTATACGTTTTATGAGGGGACAATTTTGCTAGAAAAACTGTTCCAGGATTTGGAAAAGAGGTTTCCTATGAATGAATAAAGCTTTAAACAGAAGATTTGGTTGGTAAAAGTTATTAAGATCATTGTTGATTTGAGGATAGTAAAGGAGGTTGTTGGGTGCTGAAGTGCTTTGAGATGGGCAGTGAGTCCTGTGTGTGCCTGTAAAAATGGGGAAGGAAAATTTGTATTAAAAGGGGTTGGAGGGTCTTAATGATGTAGGCGTGGGTTTTAAATTTCTGTGGGTGATATCTTGTCACCTTTTGTACTATCTATCTCTTTAAGAAGATTTTATTTTTTATTTATTACCAAAAAGATATATTTACATTAACGACAGGAAATTACAAAAGTTCCCCTATGATACCAACTTTCTTATATTCAATAGGAGCATAATTTAAACCCTCATGTCATCGTGTCCAGCATTTGTTATGTTATTTCCTCTCTCCCAAAATGGAAAGGAGTCACACCTACCCACTATCAAGTATCATCTCTTGCACATATATGAATGGACATCATTTCAGAAAACAAAACTAAAATAATAAAAAAAAAAAGATACCCATTTCAGAAAACATGAATGGATATCATTTCACACGATAAACATTCTAAATGTCTGAGTACATTTGAAAGAGATACTCATTTTCTTCCTAACAGAGCAATTCTTCTCCTCTTCACTTAAATTGCACTATTACTAAGCCTTTTTTTCTGATAAGCAACTGCAAATGATTTCATTCAAAACAACCTATCGTCCAAAAAACTGAACAGTATATAAACTATTACTAATCTGTTGTGATATAAGGAGAGAAAGTCACCATTCTCACTTTTCAAACTGAATTTTCCTCTAATATTTTTTTCTCCTTTTTAAAACCTACTATTATCTCTGCTGATATAGAACATTCCCTATTAAGTATTAAGACAATGTCATAATCTAAAGCATTAGGCCAGTCTACAATCAAGAAACAAGAATTAAYCAAAGGCAATGTATTTAATGTGGTTCATGTTCTCTTAAGATGGCTGATCTACTATGTACCACATTTCTAAGAAACAAAATCCACAAAAAAAAATATGGTCATCTACAAAAAGAGCAGGTCACAAAGCACTACCAGAACAAATCAGTAGAGAGAACCAACAAGAACACTGAAAAAACACGAAAATATGTCCATGGAGTTGCAGAAGGAGATGCGTTCAACCGTTCAAGTCGGTCTCTAGCCAATGCTTGAAACATCTGTAATCAGGTATGAAAAAGTTTATAAGGAGCTATTCAAGTTCTACATGCTAAGTGATCATGTAAGTTGCAAAGCATTTATGTAATGATACCTTTAAGGAACAAAGAACTATTAACCAAGTTGTCCACATGCCTGCTTGAAAAATTGTTGGCGGAACTACCAGTGGAAGAAAGGTTCCCTGTTAAATAAGAAACATGATGTTGCACCAACAGTTACTAAATGATAAATGCTAAAGGAAATTGATGTTGAATTTTATAGAGGACCTAGAATTTGCTATTTAAGAGTTTATAACCCCAAGATATAGTAAAGATAAAGGAAATGATAAGATCAACTATCCAACTGTTGTGAATAACTGTACAAAATAGGTCAGCAATCAGAATAATGTAACTCAACCTCCATCTGCAGACCAAAATTCATTAGAGTTACAAATTAAGAACAATCCATATATAGTGCTTTGCAGAAAGTAACAGATTGAAAAAAATGAAAGTTCCAGAGATAAAATTGAAAACCATGGGGATTATAAGGAAACATTTTTACACAATCTGGCAGTCTCCCACAAAAGTACTTTGCATAAAAATCATGTTTACCATGCTTCAGGAATTTCTTTTTTCATTGATATTCCTTTCTTTGATATGTTACGACTAACTTATTGTTCCATATGGCAATTGAAAGTTCATAGGCCACAACAATGACATAAACAAGCCATCACCTGAAGATTAAGATTAAGAATAGAAAATTGAAGAAATAAAAAATGAGGCAATAACAACAACCACTTGAGATAGAGACAGAGCTTAGGGGGAGAGGTTTATCTTTCCAGTTTCCATATCCATAACCATGACTAGAGGGTACTTATCAAAAAAAAAAAAAAAACATGATTAGAGGGTTTGATTTGAGGTGAAGAAGATGACGTTTTAATATCTGTAATGTTAGACTAATAGAGAAAAGGCAGAAATATATTCTCTAGAAATTTCATGTGAGATTTCTATGAACATCAAAGAGATAACAGGGGCTGTTCGCTGAATTTTAGATGGGATTTAAATGCTTAAATTGCAATAATTGGATGATTTATGCAATTCAACCTAGGGGAGTAAAAGTAGGCGTAAAATAAAGGAAACTTCTTGTTGGAGAAGTATCAATATCAAGCTGCAAAAGAGACCAAAAGGTCCTTAACTTATTTGGTTTAACAAATCTTAAATGTCACCAGAAAAAAGGTGCTGGACAGAACTTGAGGTACCTAAAAATATAAGAAAACCAAAAGAAAATAGGTCTAAGGTGTGCCATTTAAGATTATGGGCTGTAGAAACTAAATAGTAAAAACAACAAAGAATTAAAGAAAGAGAATGAGAATAAGAGGAAAAACAAGATGGATGGAAGAAATGAGTTGACAATGCAGAGATGGAGGAGTCAACACCACAAAATTGCAAGAAATAATTCATATTCCACTTGTCATCTCAAGAGTGTTCGCAAGATGTTTAAAGATGAAGCATCATATCTCTTTTTCTTTATCAGTAATGTCAAAGATATTTCATCTCTTTTAAGATGTACAGATATTTCTGCATATTAAATGACCAAGTTTTTGGTCATTTGACAAATTCAGTTATGTTTAGAAAACAATTGTTAAGTCATTGAACAGGAGGAAGATTTTTTTATTTTTGGACCAAATTTCCCTTGATAATACCCAAAAGACTCTCCCTCTTTAAGATGTACAGATATATTTGCTTATTAAATGACCAAGTTTTTGGTCATTTGACAAATTCAGTTATGTTTAGAAAACAATTGTTAAGTCAGTGAGCAGGAGGAAGATTTTTTTTTATTTTTTGACCAAATTTCCCGTGATAATACCCAAAAGACTCTCCCTCTTTATGCTATTTCTGCAACAAATTCACTCTCTCTTCTCACTATTCCTACAACAAGCTCTCTAATGTTCAAATAATTTAATCCAATAAAATTTTAAACAAGAATAGTATTCTGGAGAATGAATAGATTCATCATGCAGAAGTAATTTTTTTTATAGGTAAAAGTTCATTAAGAATCCATTATCAGAAAAAAGATAAATATCTGTTACAAACTTACAAGCATCCCAAGGGGAGGCACGAGGTGCAGCCTCACTCTTTAAAAAAAAACCGCACAAAAATTACAATTGGGTCCAATACAACTGATCCCTAGTTACTTCTTGCTTGGCTAGATAATCAGCAAATGAATTAGCCTCCCTTCCCACCCATTGTATAGTCAAATTCATGTGTTGTGTTACCCATTTGAATTTCTTCATTTTATTTCTATAACACCATATCACTCATGCAGAAGTAAATTTTCCCCCACATTAATTTGATTCTGAAACTCTTCACACTCACTCCCAGTAGTTTTGGAGAGAGAACAGAACCAGCCTTTGTTAGTTTCAAGAAATTTAATTCCACAAGTTATGAATGGATCAAGCAAATTCAACCTCCCAAGTTTCCAAACAACCTTCATGTTCTTAAAATATGAATATCAAAAATGTTGCAGTAAACTTGAAACTTCTCTTCCAGGAATCAACTCTTAACTCTAAGCACACTGAAAACCAAAATCTCTGCTAGAGTTCAAGCATTCCAATTCTGAAATCAAGATGCTGCAGTAGTTAAGTTTTTCCAGAATGTTCAAATCTCACAAGCTTCTGCAGTTGATCTCATATTTGGAACAGTGTTTTAATATGTGTGGGAGGCGTACGCCTGGAGGCACGCCTCCAGGCAAGGCACCCCTAAAACGCCTTGAGGCATATGCCAGAGGCGCTGACACCTCTGAAGCGTACACCCCATATGCTTTTTTCATGAGGCGTACGCCTCATGCACACCCCATGTAAAAAGATAGAAAAAACAAAGAAAAAGAAAAAAAAAAAGAACGGAAAGGAAATAAAGGGAAGGGAAAGAAAAGGAAAGGAAAGAAAAGAAAAGAAAAGATAAGGGGAAAGAAAGTGGACTAGGGACTAAGCACCCGGACCCCTTTGGCTAGGGGGCTTCGCCCCCAGACACCCCAGCCCCCCTTTCTGACTAGTGATATGCATCTTCATTCCTCTTAATATAAAAGATTTTTATTAAAAATAAAGAAAAATGAGATCCTCCTTCCTCTTCTCCCTCCTCATCCCCCCTCCTCTTAAGTAGGCTTATGCCTCTTTGTGTTCGGGAGGCTTACACCTCTTACGTTCTGAACTATGCCTCATGCCTCTAGGTAGTGGAACGCCTTGCGTCACGCCTCCACGTTTTAAAACATCGATTTGGAACCCTAGATCGCGTTCTCAGCCATACATTCTAATGGCCAAGATCGAAACCTTTTCTATGTTTTACAGGTAGTTGAGACTGGTCTAGAACGAGCTCCGTGAAGAAGATGGCGTTATTAGGACAAGTCCAAATCATCTGCTGGCCCGAATCAATAGAGATCAACAATCAGATACAGGGAAAGAGACTTGTAAATGCCAAAAAAAGGGATGAGAAAGCTTCAACCAAATATCTAAGTGTAATAATCAAGTCCTTGCAGTTCATAATTTTCGGAAAACAGAGATAGAGAGCAGAGGCTTTGTGGAGATTGCATGATGGAGGAAATCTTTGAGAATAGAAGCTAAAGATTTTCTCTTCGAGGAGTTGAAGATTAAGGGACACCCTAGCCTAAAGATTCGGGAAATGAAGAAGGCTATGGTCTTGGTTCAAGGACACGAGATGGTTGAATGGCTCATGGAGTTTGTGTCGGAGGCAGCAACTAAAGGTAAGAAACTAAGCAGGCAGGAAAGGTCCTTGGAGACAGGAAGAAGATACTTGATTGAGTGTAAAAGGAACTCAAAAGGATCATACAACTCTTTGTCTGAATTCTTTGCTAAAGGTAAGAAGCAAATGGTCTGCTTTCCTCAAGGAAAAAATAGTCAAGGATGGAAGGAGGTTAACACAGTGTTGAAGACCTTTCTTACCTTTAGGAGAAAAGGGGAAGATAAAGCAGAGGGAGGGGTTCCCTGGAAGACTGCAGTTGAGGTGCAAGAGAAGAATCTGTTTGTTATGGCAAACTGTGAGAACTTCCCCACAATGATTGTTAATTCAAGGAAAGAACGTTGGGAGGACATGCTGGTGTTAGAGGCCAATAGTCCGATCTTGGAGTGGAGGAAAGTTGCTGATTTGTTAATACAAAAGTTGAACCTAAGAACCACCTTTATCCTGACCCCCTTTGACAATTATAAGGCTCTTCTTGATCCTGTTGAGTTTTCAGGATGCTTTAGGTTCTTTTACTTTGTTTAAGTGGTCTCCTTCTTCAAACTCCAAGCTTCTCTCAGTTGAAGATGGTGTGATTATCCAAGAGATTGGGCTGCCTTTCCACCTTTGGAATCATGAGATAGCAGCCTCCATTGCAGTGTTATGTGGTGCCCGTCTTGATGGAGAGTTTTGGGGAGACCTACATTCGGCAGCCTTGTTGTTGAGTGGAGTTAAGCCTGAAGATATACCCAGAAAGATAATTATTAATGTTGACAGGGTTTTTCTTCCGGTGTGGTTGGCCTCCTCCATTGAAGCTAATCAGTGGAGGGAGGCTCAACAGGATGAAGATGAGAGGACAGAATTGTTAGAGCTACGTGGCAGGTTGGGGGTGGTGTACTCAGAGAAAGTTAATACTTTCACAAAAGTGGATAGGCAGCCTTTAGGATTTCCTAAAGATTTCAGCAGATTGGAAGGTCAAAATGGCAAGGGTCAAGGAACAGGGCTGACATCCACCAGATCAGTTGCTCAGGTGGTTGCTTCTGGCGCCAAGGATTGTTGTTTGGAATTTTCAAATTGCTCTTCTCCTCAGGATCAAGGTAAGAGCAATTTAGACAAACCATGTAAGGAAATAGCAGTGGTGGGTGAACCGTTGAACCAGGTTGGAAGAGGGTTAAACCCAGTTTTGGCCCAAAGAATAAGCTGTGGGCCTGTGTCATCTATTGAGCCTTCTATTTTGAGGGACCTAAATGTTGGTAAAGGCCCAAAATGGACCAGTATCAGCGGGCCCGACCAAATCACTTAAAAAGGCGCATGAGCTTTTAAAGAATCACGTGACCGGTGTTTTGAAGGCTCCCGCTCGGACGTCTGGCTCCCTTCATTGGCTTCCTGTGAAAAAATCTCAACGACCATCTCCAGATTGCCGTAATCCTCGTTGTGTCAAAAAAAACGACCTAGAGAAACTTTACCTGAA